GGCTGATTGTGGCGGGGCCGCCGGGCGGGTGACCACGGGGCGGTGGGGGGCGGGCGCAGCGGCAGACGAGCCAGCACCTCGGGAGCCATCGGTTCCACTGCAAACCCAGAGGAGGTGCTGCATGCCAGCACAATAGGGCCCTCGCGTAAACGCTGGGGCAAACTCCGCGGGCGGCACAGACGCAGAAAACGTCCCAGCAGATGGACATAAACGGGCGTGCGCCCCAACACGTAGACTGCTGTGTGCGTGAGCGTGTGTGCGTGAGCGTGTGTGCGTGTGCGTGAGCGTGTGTGCGCGAGAACTGCCCGCGTTTCCACGCAGGACACCCTGGCACCAGAGGGACACTGCCGTGCGGTCCACCCCACGGGGGGCAAGTCACAGACGTCACAAAGGAGACGCGGCTCACGTGCAGCTTTTATGACATATTTAATCTGTGTGTTAAATAAGCGGCCATAAAGCTAATTTCAAAACAAAAAACCACACCCTGTGGTACTGCCAGGATCGAGAAGTCGAAATTGAGAGCTTACGTTTTATGAGTATTGTCGAACCAAAGAATAAATTATAATCGAACTTATTTACGGGCCAAACGTTTTTGGAACAAAATCTGAGGGTGGAAACAACCAGAACACAGAGGCGCCCCCAGACCGCCGGCACTCACCCGGAGGCACGTCTTCCTGCGCTTCAGTGGCTCGAGTAGAGGCTCTGGGACGTGCATTAACCCTGTCGCGTTCCGCTGCGTCCCCAGCAGACGGGCAGGTCACACGTGCTGTGCCGCTTAAGGCGTAAACTGTGGGGACTCGAGTGACTCGAGGGGGGACCGTGCTCGGGGCCCCAGCCCCCCGGGCTCTCTGGGACCTGATGAAATGTCCTGCAAGTGCCTTTTTCATTCTACACTCCTGGGAAAAAGCCAAATAAAAGGCCAGCACGCACGTGAAAGAAACGCACTGTAGCTCCTCGCAGGCGTGGTTCCGTCGGCGTCACGGACAAGCCTGAGGACCCCTACGTCGCCCGACCTCAGAGCGGCCGTTCCCACGCAGCCAGCAAGTGAAACCCAGAGATGGAATACAGGCTGGGATGCCTCCAGCCTCGGCCCCCACTGGCCCGCGGAGCACCTCCGACAGCGGCGCGGCGGGGAGGCCAGGCCAGCTGGGACGCCACCTAACTTGTCACCTGGGGTTGGGGACGTGCAGTCGCTCTGCGGTTGAGTCACTGTAAATCGCAGGGCACGGCCAGGTCCCCCCGCCCCAGGGGACGGCACCTTCGTGCCGCAGATGCACGGGGGCAAATCCCAGGAGAGGGCAGGCCAGACCTGCCAGCACCCCCAGGAACCAGCGGCCCTGTCCTGCTGAGACGAGGGCTAGTGCGTGCAGGGCACTCGGTGGGGGGCGGCGTCACCCGCGCCCACACCGCCCCATCCCCCCCGGTTTCCTGGGCCGTTTCGTCAGCCCCCAGCCTCTCACCTCTCCCTGGGTGTAAATGACAAAGACGAGGCATTTGCTTTCACATCAAGGCCACGTGAGATCGAGCACCTAGGTTCCAGCGCAGCTTTCTGTCCCTGTGTCCACCTTCTTTTCCACGCACCCTCCTTGGGTGGCTGCCGACTCGTCACCCAGACACACAGGGAGAGACGCGCGTGCCTTGGAGCCAGTTTCCACGACTACCCCTGCCGCCCCCGCTGCAGACACTTTGCAGGGGCCTGCTTCCTAAACCAGCCACACGGCCTCGAACCGGCCAGGGATTCTGAAGTGCCTCCCACTCTCTTAAGAGAGACGGTGACATTAAACAACATTTATACTAAAACGGAACTCCTGAAGTTCACGCTCATTAAACACAAGCAGGGTGGGGCAAGGGGAGACGAAATATAACTGGGTGGAGAGACGGAGCGAGAAGTTAACTCCACGAGGGGAACGCAATCTCTGCTCTGAAGAGACCCGTTTGAGTCTGCGGCCAGCAAGGGCCCGGGAGATGCGGGCAGATCGCGTCCCTCCTCGAGCGCTGCCCTCCTGCCCAGGCTCGGGGCTGGGGAGCCGTCCTCCACCCAAAATGAGCAGCAGCTTCAACTGTTCCCCTTTGACTAACTAATTTCCAAAAACCTCAACCACACAGAACACTGAATGAACGGGCTGGGATCACTGCAGTCAACTCAAGACAGCCGAGCTTCACCAAAACCCCGCCAGGTTCTCACCAGCCACCCCCGTCAAGGGGGCCAGCGGAGAACCCGCCCCCACACTCGCTCAGAGTTCACGCTGGGGAGGCTGGGGGTCCCGTGGAAACATGTGGATTCACAGAAGCACGTTCACTGCGGTCCAGGGAGCCTCTGGCACGGGCGCCTTAACCATGGTCCCAGCCCTGACCGAAACTACGAACGCCGCTTTGCTCTCAGAGGCCAGCACGTGGCAGCTGGCCTGGGACTGTGGACGCTCAGGAAACGGCCTGGAGCTCCAGCCTGAAACAGAGGCCGAGAGAACCACCTGCTGGAGCCACACTGGACTGGGTCTCAGAACCTCTGCCAGGGGCCCCAGGACCAAGGAAACGGTGGACCAAGACTGCCAGCAGGTGGGGTGCGTGGGAGGCGAGGCCGGGAGGCCGGGGGCCGCCGAGCCCACACGGGCTCCTGATTCTCCGGCAGCGAGGGTCCGGGGAGTTTGGGACAGGAAGTCACAGGGTCAGGCCAGTGTTCTGAGAGAGCCGCGATCACAAGGAGAGCGAAGCAGAATACTGGGGGTTGGATTTAGGAACAGGAGACCTACCACAAAGTGACCTCATGACGTAGGTGAGAGATGTGGGGCCCTAAAGTGGACAGCCGGGTGCTCCACAGATGTTTGGGGCAGGGCCGGCAGGCCCTGGGGTCGGGGGAGTTTGGGAAGGGAAGCACAGGGGCCGGAGGGGCTGGAGTGCCCGTCAGGGCCAGGAGAGGTCAGCACCAGGTGGACGGGACAGGGGGCAGTCTCACCAGCACCAGGGGCTGCACCTGTGCGCTCAGCACCGTGCGGCCACGGCGGCCCTCCTGGGCCAACGGGCCTCCGGCTGGGCCGTCCTACTCAGCCTTGACCTCTCAGCCAAGTCCAGAGGGGCCTGGAGAACTGCCTGGGCCGTGGACCGAGCATCCTCACACCTCACACCTCACACCCGACACATTGTCGAGGGAGCAGAACGGGCATTCACTGAGCTCACCGGACGAGGGCCATTCCCCAGGTAGCTCCCTGCCCACCCTCCCACCTAAAAAGGCTGCATCTGACCATGAGAGGGGCCTGGGCAGCTGGACGGGGGCCAGAGGGCACTGCCCAGTCCTCTGCCTGCGCCTGAAAGCTGTGGGGCTGTCCGGACCTCAGGGGGCAACGCTCCTCTCTGTCCACCCTGCCTCGGCAGGACCACGCCGGAACTTTCTCAGACAGAAGCCCGGACCCAGCAGCCTGCCTCACCAGGCACCAGGGCTGAACGCAAGGCACCAAGGGTCAGCAGAACGCGTGGTCCCCTTTTGTCCGGACTGCCACCCTGCTCCTGCAGAGATCGCGGGTCTGGCTGGGTGACCAGGGTCCTGCAGGCACATCCGGGTGAATCGGGCACCTCCTGGGCGGGACTGACTTCCCACAGCTGCTGAGGGCAGTTCTGGGCCCAGAGCGCGGTTCTCCAGGGATCAGCCACTGAGTCCCGGTGGCGCCCCCAGTGGTCTCACCTACAGACCACGAGCACGTCCTACTGGGAGGACGCCTGGCTTAAGGGTGTTTGAAAGCTCGTAGCCTTGAGTCAGGAAAGAGCCGGGGAGGCATTTGTGGGGCCTCGTTTCCACCTAAGTGGACGGGACAACTCAGTGGAGGGGGGCCAGCACCGGCGTCCCGAGGTGGCGCTGCACTTCACCCCTGAGGAGGCTCACGTGCCCCCGGGCCGGCCTACACGTGCGCCTCAGCACCAGGTGGGGCCCGCCACCTGCTTCCGGAACGGCAGCTCCGGGAGAGACTCTCCCCAGGGTCCTGGGAGCACAGGGCCCAACGGGAGGCTTGCGGGACACGAACGTGGGGAAACGTGGCATCTCCTGAGATGGCTGCAGTGGGAGGGAAACGCCCACAACGTCTGGCTGGTTTTTTTAGGGGAAATGGCTGAAGGGGGCTGAGAGGCCTTGACCGTGGAGGTTGGGAGGCCGAGGCGGCGTTGGGGGAGGCCAGGAGCCGTGTTCAGCGTTGGTCGGCACCCTGGTCTGGGAAACAGCCGACACCTGGGCAAGGGGGCTGTGCCGCTGACGGGAGGCCAGGCGCTCATACGATCCACGCAGGGCCCACGAAAGCACCGAATCGAGTCCTAGCAAGCAGGTCACGGGCCCTCGGCACCTTGTCCCTGGGAGAGAGACCCCATCCCTCACCGAGGTGCCTCCTGTCACCGCTGCAGGAGGACCTCGGCTCTCAGGTCCTCTACATGAGCTGGCCTGACTCGGGAGTTTGCAGGGCACCTCTTTCCAAGTCACCCTCCACATCTCTGCACGGAGGGGGCCCGGTGTGTCCCGGGGCGAGGTTGCCTGTGCTGGGATGAGCCCCAGGCCAGGGAGCGCCTGCTCTTTACTATCCGTTCTCTGAGCTTCTGACAAGCCTGCGCGTGCTTAAGCGTGTCCGCGGAGCTGCGCAGGGTGAAATTCCACTCACTCGCAGCTCAGCCTCTGCGTAAAAACCGTTCACTCAACTGCAGCGGCTCCTCGGACGGCGAGAAACGACAAGCCGGGCCTGACGCCGGGCTCTGGGCCGCCTCTCCTAGCAGGACGGCTCAGCCCGCACGGTGCACGCGCCCCCGAGCTGTTGGCCGGCATCACCCCAGGGACAGGACCCCTGAGGGTCTAAGGCCACAGGTGCCGGGACCCGCGTCCGAGCTCTCTGGTCAGAGCTGCGTGTCCCCCGTGGGCTGGCAGCCGCACAGCCAACCACGCAGGTGCCACCAACAGCGCTTCCCGCTTGACGGGCGGCCGGCCGCTGGCGCACACGCCCTTCTGCCGCACCGTCGCCTCGGGCACTTACCGTCATCCAGGTCCAGCTGGTCCAGCTCTTGAGGCTCGCGCTTGACCGTTACGGGAATGGGGGCCAGACTATGGTTACTGTCCTCACGCACCTCGGGCGGCAGCAGAGGCCGGGTGGCGGCAGGCTCGCTCCTTGGGACCTTCGGCGGGGGGTGCTGCTGGTGGCCCATCGCAGACGGGCGGGTGGGGCTGCAGGGCTGCAAACAGGCCGGCTCTTGGGCACGGGCGGCGGTGGCGAGGAGGGGCTGTTGGGACAGAGAGCTGGCCGGTGGCCCGGGAAGCAGCAGCTGCTCAGCTGTGGACTCACCTGTGGCTGCAGCAGGGGTGGGCGGCGGCAGCTGGGGGGAGCCGGGGTGCACGCCCGTGGGCCTCGGTGCCTCCTGGCCGGTGAGCACCCCTCCGGCTGGCCGCTGAAGTCCGAGGTGGCCGTGGCCCAGGCTGGCCACGCCCTGGCTGTAGGGGGCAGCAGAGAGGTCGTGGAGCTTCGGGCTGGAGCTGGGCGGCGGGGACATCCCGGTGCTTCTCTGCGGACAGGGCGGGAAGCCGGCCCCGAGGCAGGAGGCCGGGTCGGGCGGCGTGGCCAGCGGCTGGCCGTAGCAAGGCTTCGGGAGGGGGCTCGGGCCCTGGCGCGTTGGTCCACAGGTGAGAGCAGGCTCGTAGTCGTCACTGGGCTCTGTTTTTATGACTGGAACTGCGAGGGGGGAGAGAAGGCAGAGAACGTGAGCTGCAGGGGGTTGGGTGGGCGGCTTGCGGCGGCGACCTCCGAAAACAAACAGCGTTTTGACTGCGTCCCTGTGCGGCTCCTGCCCGGGCCTCCCACCCAACTAAAGAGGGCGTGAGTCATCGGCCCCGAGAGCAGCAGCTGGTTCTGATTCTGAGAGAACTGCTTCGCTTGGCCTCTCCCCCAGCACTGACGTGCTGTGAAAATCCATTTGCAAACTGCAGGGGAAGCCTTGGACCCAAGGGCCCACGGATTTGTAGTCATCAAAGCGAAAATCTTGACTTGGATGTACTACTCATTTCTGCTGCTACCGACGCCCTAGCTGATAAACGTCCACGTGTCTGGGAAACCGGAGCACACAGGAGGACGGCGCTGAGAAGTCCCACAAACCCAGCAGAAGGACGAGTGGGCACCTGCCCCAGCGCAGAGCCCTTCAGCCGCCGGACGAGGGTGGGGGAGCCCTTTGACGCGAGCAAAGTGCTGTCCGTCCCTCCTTCCCGCTGCTTTGCTCCTGCGGGGAGACAACGGAGGACCGGGGATCACGCAGCTCCCAGGGCGGAGTCAGAGGCTCCACACAACCTCCAGGGTGCTCTCCGGTCCACCCAGAGCTGGCAAGGGGACGAAGGGGGACCGGAGGGGAAGAAAACGGGCGGGTGTGCCTGTGGGGTCTCCTCGGGCGCTCGGGCTCCGTCCCGACCCACAGCCCCGGTCCTGCCCGCGCTTACTCCCCATGGCCCCGTTTTCTCACTGTCTTTATCCCTGTTTACATGAGACCCCTTGATGGTCAAACTACTCCGAGAGCGACTAGTGAGAGCCCACTTCAGTTCACACCGGCCGCCCCGGCCACTGAAGGCGAACGCGGGTGGCTGAGCTGTCAGCAGACCCTCATCACGTTTTCACCTCTCCGCGCGCACAGGTGGGTTCCTGGCGGCGGGGGGGCCACGCGGAGGCAAGGCCCCTCAACCCCAGGCTGCGGGCCTACGTGTGGCCCCTGCCTCCTCCTTGAATAAATGAAGACCCTCCCCCAAACATAGCTGTGCCTCACGAAGGCCCTGAGCTGGCAAGTTTGCACATCTGTTTGCTGTTACGGCCACAGTGCCTGCGGCTTCCCCGGCAGCCGGATGTCGCAGACCAGCTCTTCCGCAGAGTGTCTGCAGGGCGCCTGGGCAGTGCGGCGGCCGTGTGGCTGGGACCCCGCTGATGCCCCAGACCAGCTGAGGCAAGAGCATGGCACTCTGCTCGGGGGCCTCCAAGTCCTAGGCTTTGGGCACGCGGGATTCCTGGTGGGGGTCACTGTCTTCGGTCTCGCCTTTTCCGCCTGCCGACACCCACCCCCACCCCTTCCTCAATCACCGCCTGTCTTTGATGCATCCCCCTTCACACAGAGCAGGGAGATGCCCAGTTGCAGGGCGACTGGATCCCCAGGCGGAGCCGACAGCTGGAAGGAGACACAAGGAGGGGACGCCGTCTGTCACTCCCTGATGTGCCCTCTCGTCTGGCCGAGAGCTGGGAGGTCTCAGCCCTGCCGGAAACCCTGCTTCCAAGGCCCGGGCCCCACACCCCCAGCACCCCCGGGCCAGACAAGCCCAGCAAAGCTGACGTGGGACGTGGGGTGGGGGCAGGCGGGCAAGCC